GCGAAAAATGGGAAAGCCCTCTATGAGATGGATTGACACAGTGGCTGCCACAATGGGCTCAGGTATAGCAAGGATTGTGAGGCTGGCACAGGACTGGGCAGTGTTTCGTTCTGCTGTGCATAGGGTCGCTATGAGTCGGAGCCAACTCAATGACACCTAACAACAACAACAGCCCCTACTATTGTTTTGAAGACTAAATGAGATAATCCATATATAATATATAAATGTCCATATAAAGGGCTTAGCTCTGGCCTAAACCAAACCAAACACCAAACCCACTGCCATTAAGTTTGACTCATAGTAACTAACCTTCTAGGGAAGAGTAGAACTGTCCTATAGGGTTTCTAAGGCTATAATCTTTATGGAAGCAGACTGCCTCCTCTTCCTCCCACAAAGCAGCTGGTGGGTTTGAACCACCGACCCTCTGATTAGCAACCAAATGCCTTACCCACTGTGCCACCTAGAGCTCCTTCTTTACATACTAAGGGAGTTGTAACCACATTGGTACAATTCTTTAATTTTTTTTTTCCTTTTGAACAGGAAAATGGCAAAGCAGAAATTGAAAGCAGATGTTTAGGTTTGCCTGATGTGGCTTGAAACCCGTTCTCATTATTTATTAAGGCTTTATGTTACTGATTGCATAAAGAAAACTTGTAGGGGATGGGTGTTTCCTGTTAATTTTTCATGCTGGGTACTAGGCAAAGATTCAGGGAACTGTGGACAGAATTACATAGTGGGGCCTCCGGAGAAGGATCAGCACATTACAATCAAAACTTACCGTGCAACCTTTGGCAAAGTATCTGAAATAGGCCGTCTGGAGGTCAGGAAAATGAGTAATGATGCATGACTTGTATTAGTACTAGTTGGTTTTGTACCTGTAACTACATGCTGTCACAGTGATAAATGACTAGGATATTTTGTTGAAAAGGGAATGTATCTATTTTGTTATAACAGCCCTCAACCGAAAAGTAAAAGCGACACAGCTAATTAGCAGCATAGATATTTTCAAAGCATTTTTCTTCCCCCTTTTGATTACCCAAAATATTGTGGCCTTTTGTTTCTTTTTCTACTACTTTGGTACAGACTGAGTCAGTCCAAGGACTGAACAGGAGGGGATTAAAACACTGCCAGAAAAAGACTTGAATAAAATGTGAATCCAACTTTTTTTCTAATATTATCCTTTGTAGGACCCAACTTGATGTCCACTACCTTATTTCATCTCCCTCTAAACTATATCCAAATCATACAATTGAGTGAATTGATCTGGTGTTATGAGAACTAGGTAATTTTATAATATAAAAACCGATTCAATTTTAAAGATCAGTGTTTTTAATTTCAAAAAAGTAACAACTTTTTTACATCAGTTGGACAGTCTTAATGATCATGACTGTATCCTTCAAAAAAGGACATGCCTGTTGGGATTCTAGATCTCAAGGAATTTCAACCTGTCTAAAGAAAAGTGATAAACCTATCACTATCTTCAAGCAGTAATGAACCTATCGTGGGAATAGAACTGGAAAAGGAACCATTCATAAAGTTTACCCTCAAACCCTGACTCTGCCTCTAGGTGGCTCAGTGATTTGGGGCAAATCACCCAGTTTCCATCTACAAAACAAAGATGTTGGGTAAATTACCTTTTCTCTACCTTTAAAGTTCTTCTGGAGTCACCACCTCCCCCCTACAAGGGCCACTGATCCAATGGGGGATGAGAGGAGTCAATCTAGAAGTTCATTTTTAAAAGAAAGTTAGTTTAGTGGTGAGAAATCAGAAATAATGGAAAAGAGCAAATAGAGAAGCCTCTACAAATATTGCATAAGTAAAACCACTTAGCTGTAGACAGTAGTTTCTGGAGGTGACGAAATTCAAAGGAGAGTGAAAAAGAGAAAGGAAAATCAGGTACGTACACATTGAAGCATTAGTTCCCATTTTTACAGGTCACAAATGGTCCACTACTGGCAATTTCATATGGTTCAATGTCTATAGCCATAGCCGGAATCTTTAAACTTCAAACTGGGACGAATAAATAGGGACCACTCACCAGAAGCCTGGCGGTTCAAACCTACCAGCCACTCCTTGGAAGGAAGATTGGGCAATCTACTTCCATAGATATACTTGCCTCGGAAACCCAAGGAGGGGCCACTATGAGTCGAATCGACTTGATGGGCGTGAGTTTGGTTTTTTTTTTTTTTTTGTTTGTTTACCATACTAGCTTTGGGGAATAGCAGCATGAAAGCAGAAATATCCCTCACATGGGATCTGTAGCCCAACTTTGTGACCAGTTGCTGTTGAGTCAACCCTGACTCCTGGTGATGCCATGTATGTCAGAGTAGAACTGTGCTACCTACGGTTTTCAGTGGCTGGATTTTAGGAAACAGATTGCCAGGCCTTTCGTCTGAGGTGTCCCAAACCAGACTTGAACCTCTAGTCTTTTGGTTAGCAGCTGAGCTCACTAACTGTTTGCCCCACTCAGAGACTCCAGCCCAGCTGGGCGAATAACAGATTATTTCACTTCATTAGTCTCTGAAGCAAAACAAAACAAAAGTGTGTCCTCTGTCTCTCTCCTGTCACCACCATAACATCGGGACTGCTGGAAGCAGATGTAAATATAGTCTTTCCCAAAATATTGATCAGAGAGCCTCGTAGGGACTGGCTCTGGAAGTGTTCACTCACTGCACTTGAAAATTTTTTAAATGCCCCATTTGTGACGAGCGAGCAAATCAACTACCGATTTAGAACTTCTCCCCTTTTCTGTTTGTTTTAGCTATTCCTGAGAAATCTGTGAAGGAAATCCACAGGGCACCTGGTACCATCAAAGACACAATCAAGAAGCTGCTTGCTCACAAGAAAAGCATGAGAAAGAAGGGGAAAATTAAAAATACCCTCCCCGGGTGCACTGGGCCTCCTGCTCCTAAGGTTAACTTGCGGCCATTCAACCATGAAGAGAGTGTTGACTGGAGCAGGAAGTCCAATGGAGGAAAGAAAGGGCCTGAAGAGAGAAAAGACGGACTTGAGGGAGAGAAAGGAGACGAGAAAGCCCTGAAGAACCATGTGGAGCGGGAAGAAAGCCTTCGAGGAGATGTGTTTTGTGAGTATCACTTTACTTTCATACATCTTAAGGAAAATGAATTGTGACATCTCTTGGCAAAGGAAAGATGCCAGGCCAGTTTCACGACTTAAGGACAATGTTGTTCGCTGCCATCAAGTTGCCTCCAACTCATGGTGACCTTATGAACCACAGAACGGAAGGTTGCCTGGTCGTGCACCATCTTCATGGTCACTGGTATGTTTCAGTCCACTGTTAGAACCACTGAATACAGTTAAGTTCAGCCTTAAATCCTAAGACGTGGGGTTCTCTGTAAGGAACCTTAAAATCTTACTCAGATAGTAAATCCAAGGTGCTGCTCTGGATAGCCAGTAGGATGCAGCCTTTTCCCTCTGGGGCTTTCCTATTCGATCCAGGCCCTCTCTTCCCACTCCCAGCCAAAGAAATGTACTAGTTCCTGCAACATGCTTCTTCGGCTGCCACGCTACCCATGTGGACTCATGGTGAGCCCATGTCTGTCAGAGCAGAGCCAGCTCCATAGGGTTTTCAGGAGCTGATTTTGGGAAGCAGATCACCAGGCCTTTCTTCCGAGGTGCCTCTTCTGAGGGTGGCCTTGACCCACCAACCTTTGGATTAGTAGCCGAGCGTGTTAATAGTGTGCACCACCCAGGCACTCTTAGCCATGTGTGGCACGCCACAGATCAGAAGGACCCTCGCACGTGGTTCTGCCGAGCTCTATCATATTGCTTCTTAAAGGTGTTTTTTTTTTTTTTACAGGCTCAGCCCATGAAAAACCACGCAAAAGGGGAACTTCATGGTTGTGTAGTTATGATGTTGAAAGCCAAATTAGATCATTATGGGGGAAGAAAACCCACAATGAAGTTTGGACTGGATAACTGGCATATCCCCCCTGTGGGGGCCAGGTGTCCTAAGCACAGACCCCCTCAGGAAGTGCTTGCTCTCTTCCCACTGCCTGGCCACCTGACAGTTGCCTTAGGACTTAGCCTGGAATCCCTGGGTGGGGCAAATGCTTAATTCACTTGACTACGAATTGAAAAGTCAAAGGTTCAAGTCCACCTCCTGGGATGAAAGGCCTGGACATCCAGGACTGAAAACTCAGCCATTGAAAACTCTGTGCAGCACAGTTGTAACTCTGACACACATGGGGGCACCGGGGGTTAGGGTCAACTCCACAGCAATGGGTGGTGGCGGTGCTATTGGACTCAGCCCAGGGTGCAGCGGACAGGTGAGGAGAGGAGGCAGATCTACCGTGAAGCCAATAAAGCTTACAATTCACAGGTCCTTCCAAGTCGGGAGGGGGCAGTGGGCTAGAAAGCTCCTTTCTTTTTTTAACCTCTTGCTTTCATTTATTGAAAATGGAATAGCATTAAAATAAATTTCACAGGAAAATTTCCTCTAAATTCCAGTTTCTGAAAAACTTTTTTTTTTTTTTTTTTGGCCATATTCACTACCATTTTGGATCCAAGATATTAAGCTGAACCCTATGGAATTGCATTTTGATAAGTTAAAAAAGGTCAAATATCTGCAATGCCTCAATTGAACATAGCTGTCATTTTCACAGTTGGAATGCAGGACCCATGGGTGGCACAAACAGTTAAGTGCTCAAATACTGGAGGAACATTTAGCTGTTCAAACCTACTCAGAGGCACCTCAGAAGGCAGGCCTGGCATCTGCTTCTGAAAGCTCACAGTCTTGAAAACGCTGTGGGGCAGTTCTATTCTGCACACGTGGGATCGCCGTGAGTTGGAATTGACTCAACACTAACTCATGTCAACGATCAGAATGCACCGACACCCTTATATCAGGATTTTTCCACAGATCATTAGGAATTTGCCATCCCGTCATATAATCTTCACAATTATTATGTAAAGGTCATTCTTTTTACATCTTATTACCCAGATATTATCACAACATAAAATTTAGAAAGAAATCACCTATAATCTTACCACCTATCAAAGACAAATCTTTTCATTTCTTCACATGTATAGGGGGTTATATTCATACCCTAACTAAAACTTTACATTCTCCTGTTTTCACTTAATAGTATAGCATCAGCATTTTTCCACATTGTATAATAATAACAGTATCATCTATTTTTCTATATCACAATGAATGGAAGGCTATATAATAATCTCTTGTTTCCAGCACTAGAATTTCCCTAACATTCCCAAATCATTTAGAGTATTATTTATTATTTATTTCTTATTATTTCTTATTTAGATTATTATTTAGATTCCCAAATCATTTAGATTCCCTAATCATTTAGATTTGGGAATGAGAGTTTTTGAGAGTAAGCGACAACATTGCAAAACTATAAATAAATAAATAAACATCAGTATTGCTGGGGAAGGGGTTGTTTGTTAGTTTTTTTTTTTTTTTCCCTAAAATATAAACTCTCAGTGGGGAATAGGCCAAAAGATCATCTTTCTATACTGATCTAATACCTATAGAGAGAGTCACAGACTCTCAGTAAATACTCAAATCTACTTGTGTCTCTCATAATTCAAAATTCCATCTTAGACCTCAGCAAGAAGGCTCTGCACCCTAACCCATGATGGGGACAGAGGTAATCTTTAGACTCTGAGTCTCATTTTGTCCTACATTCATCAATTATTAAGTTTTTTTTAATAATTTAATAAAAAAAAGATATACTTATGGAGGTAAACCAGGGCTTTGAACCAGTTCTGCCTGATTTAGTCATAGCTGATGAAGCATAACCAGAATGGGCCTGAATTTGTAAAATGTAAGTGAATCAGAACAACAACTGAAATGGGAAAAATTACAGGTCAACATCCTGCTAGAAACTTAATCTCCCTCTTAGAAAACAATCACAGTATGCACATTGCTTAGCAACCAAATCTCTTGACTAGCAGAGTCAGAAACAACGATGTCCCCACTCAAACATGGGAGCTCACCATGCCACTTTGAATGTGTGTCGCACCCCACTGTCCTGGCAATAATCCAATCTCGTGCATCAGGCTCCTGGAAGGGCTCACTATGCCTCTTCTGAGTCTCTCATTCCTGGGTTTTAACCCACAATATTTCCTGTTCCAGTTACCATTCAGCATCACATAAATTTTAAAAATTCAGGTCTGTTCCAATTTCACTTCATCAGCCACGACCAAACTGGTTCAAAGCCCTGAGGTAAACTTCCATTGTCCTCAGTAGGAAACTGTATTTCTCAAAGTGCAATTAACCTGGGGTCAGTCTTTATAGCACTTTACAAAGGGGGGAAAAAAAAGCATTTTTGCATCAGTTAGAAAAAGTGCCCTACCATATTAAAACCACCATAATAACTGATTCAGGCTAAACGCCTCAATGGGTGCTAAAGTCATTGAATGAAAGACTGTTGGGGAATAAGATAATCATAAATTCTCAAGTTATCTCAAAATATCACCCATAGATTACTTATTAATTGCAAAAGGGAAATGGTACTTTCATAATGGAGAAACTGGCATACTGTGCCTAAACCAAATGCTTGATCATGACTTCATCAATGATGGACAGACTAATGTCCACAAAATAAAACATTAATTCTTAATTTCTATAAGGTAGGTCTTCATTTTTGGTTTCTCCAGAACTGACCAAGTGTTCTTTATTAGCCCCTAAGGTTAATGGAGCAGGTGAATTTGGTCTGGTTCTGGTCCAAAGAAAAACTCCAACATCCAAACTGGAATACACAGGTAAATAACACTTTCCTCAAGTATATGTTGGTTCATACTTTACATTTATTTGTAAGATGAGATGATTGTTTATGAATCACTGATTCACTGATAAACAAAAAAGGGAAAACTCCTGACACACAGTGACATTATTAAAATTGTAGGTCCTTGTGTGATTGACGGCTATTTATTTCTCCCCGCGCCCCTACCCTGACACATAGAATGAAGGGGTGAAGCAGACTACATGTGTGGAAGTGGGTGATAATTACTCATTTGCTTCAATTCCAGTGTCAGAGGGCTCACACTCTGAAAATCACTGGGTACAGAACTATGGCCCAACGTGCCTGTTATCAGTTACCTATTGCCACAAAAATGCTGTGTAACAGGCAACCGCAAGCTCTCAGTGGCCCACAGCAATAAGTACTAATCTTTGCTCATGGGTCTAGGGATCGACTGGGCAGTTCTGCTGACCTGAGTGGTAGGGGTGGGTGATCTCATCTGTGCGTCTGCAGTGATTTGTGGGCCTCCTCAGTGACTTTGCTGACCTTAGCTGCACTCTCTCACACACTTGAGGCTGGGGCAATTGGGCTGACTCAGCTGTGCTCCAGCAGGCCAGCCCAGGCAGAAAAAAGGAAAATGAGAAAAGACACCAAATGCTTGTGCTGGCTTAGGAATTGTGCAAGATGGACAGACCTGGATTTCAGACTGATTTTGGGTTCATGTTCAATTCCAGCACTCAGTATATGAAGGATCCTGGAAAAATCACAGGAGCTCTGGTGACACAGTGGTTAAGTGGTTCGAACCCACCAGCGACTCTGCAGGGGAAAGATGAAGCATTCTGCTTCCGTAAAAATTTAAAGCCTTTGAAACCTTATGGGGCAGTTCTACTCTGTCCTATAGGGTTGCTATGAGTCAGAATCAACTCAATGGCAATGAGATTAGTTTTGGATGTTTTAGACAAATCCCTTATGAACCTCAATTTATTTGCCTGAAAATGGGTCTGAATTAGAATTTTTGTGACAATCAAATCAAATGATATAATATATATAAAAATATTTTGCAGATAATTGAAATGTCAAGTATCAATTGTTGCAACTTAGATCTCTTATTCCCTTTCTTTGCCATTCCCTTATTCCTCAGCATAAACAGCTACTACCCCAATATAAGAGCTCCCTGAAACTGGCATTAGTTATAAATTAAGAGTATCTCTAACTTCCCCTTCTTCCCCAGTGGCATTTTATTATTATTATTATTTACAGCAGGGGTCAGCAAACTTTTTCTAAAAAATATTTTAGGCTATACTGTCTCTGTTGAAACTGCTTAACTGCCATTTTAACTCAAGCAGCCATAGACAATATGTAAATGAGTGGACATGGCTGCATTTCAATAAAACTTTAAATACAAATACAGGGGGTAGGCCAGAAGTTAGTTTGCTGTCCCATGATCAACATAAAAGTAACCAGCCACACTGGTTCAAAGTTTATATTAGCGATCCAACTATTATGTTTCTGTGACATCTCTAAACAAGGCAGTCATTCTATCACAAAATACCCAGTAACAATTTAGAAACTGGCTATGTGTCAGCTGATTTCTAATGGGAATGTTGGGATCATGAAGTAAAGAAAGTTTAATTACTTACATACTAAATGGATCTTGGTAAGTCATGAACTATATGAAAGTTAGTATTCCACAAAACATCTAGAAAGTTCTGGCAAGGTCTTCACTGGTTTATTTGAGTAGCAGAGGTTTCATTTTCTGAACTGAACTTTACAATTGCTTAAATTCTCTGTTTTGCTTTGCTTATGGGGATCTTGCCAATAACTTATTTTTCAAAAAATAGGCTTGGCTTTTTTGTGTGGTTTATTTAAGATCACAACAGAATTTGTTCAGAATGGCCTCACAGGTTTAAATATAAACAGGGTATCTGGTTTGGTACTATCCTAGAGGTCATTCAGTTACTCTGATCTGTGCTCTGCAATTGAAAGCAGAGGAACATGCTTTATCTTCCAAAGCTCCAAAAGTTAAACATTTTTCTGATGCTCTTAATGATTATGAATGTATTCTTTTTCTTAGCAGATTTAAACATTTCAGCAGACTGCAGCTTTGATCAAGGGATCTGTGACTGGAAACAGGATATAGAAGATGATTTTGACTGGAACCCTGCTGATCGAGATGATGGTATTTAGAGTTCAGTTATTTCGTGTTCTGCAATATGGTGAAAGGAAACAAGGTTCTCCAATGGCGAGAGAGTGATTCTTCTTGTCACTTGTTAGGTCAGGGTTGCTTGGCATCTTTGGAAACATTTTTACCTTCCAAGATCTCCCCTGTGAATGACTAACTTGGTTCAGCATATATTCTCCTCCTTAATCCCTCTCCCACCCACCTACCCTCACAAAGAATGCCCCAGTAAACCCTTTCCACATTCACTCTTCTGCTGCTGAAAAAGAGGTATTGGGCTGCATGAAAGGTTTGGAAGGGTTGATGGAAAGGTAGAAAGAAATTGCTCCTTTTTTCCCAATTTACCAGCCATGATGTTGTTTCAGAGACATAAATCCTAAAAGGAGACACGACCTTCACCTATACCTGGAGTTGGAATAGAGTTAACCCTTCAAAGCATCAAAACCATAGTAAGCCTCAAGTCAAGGACCAGAACATTTCAACTGAGCTTTCCCTTCTATTGCTTGAGAATTGCCTCCTGGCCACCTGGCCTTGTGTTTTCTCAACCTCAGCTCTGGACTGTGGGTTTCAAGCCCTTTCCAGTGCCTACTTAATGAGACTTAAGTTTCCCCCAGGAGCCCTGGTGGCACAGTAGTTAAGCGCTTAGCTGTTAAGTGAAAGGTCAGTGGTTCGCATCCACCAGTCACTCCAAGGGAGAAACACTGCTTCCGTAAAGACCGTTGTTTGTTGTTGTTAGGTGCCATCGAGTCGGTTCCAACTCATGGTGACCCTGTGTGCAACACAATGAAACACTCCCCAGTCCTGAGCCATTCTCGCTATCATTGACATGTTTGAGCCCATCATCATAGCCACCATGTCAATCCATCTCGTTGAGGGTCTTCTCCTTTTTTGCTCACTCTCTACTCTACCAAGCATAATATCCTTCTCCAGGGATTGGTCCCTTCTGACAACCAGACCAAAGGATGAGAGATGAAGTCTGGTCATTTTTGCTTTAAGGAGCTTATTTCAGCTGTACTTTCTCCAAGACAGATTTGTTCCCTCTTCTAGCAGTCCATGGACATTCAATATTCTTTGTCAATACCACAATCAAATGCATCAGTTGTTCTGTGTTCTTCCCTATTCATTGTCCAGCTCTCATATACATATGAAGCTACTGAAAATGCCATGGCTTTGCCTAGGCTCACCTTAGTCTTCAAAGTGACATCTTTGCTCTTTAATACATTAAAGAGGTCTTTGCAGCAGATTTGGCCAATGCAATACATCGTTTGACTTTTTGACTGCTGCTTCCATGAGTGTTGATCGTGGATCCAAGTGCATGTAATCCGAGCAGTAGTAAAGATTACAGCCTTGGAAACCCCATAGAACAGTTCTACTCTGTCCTATAGGGTCACTATTAGTCACATTGCTATGATCGGAATCAAGTCAATAGCAATGGGTTTGGGTTTTGGTTTAAGTTTCCCTGCTGGGTAGAACCATTGGCTTGCAGATCCCATTTGGAGTGTAAATCCAATCCCTGTCTCCTGAGGGCTGATCACATCATTAGGGACAACTGTTAAACCTTCAAGGACTCCAGTCCCTTACCAATAAAATTATTTCCTGGAAGTATACAGGTTCAGGCCTCAGTTAAAAGATTCTTCTTCTAGGTCCTTCCTCTAGACTAAATCCTCCCTGAAATATTTCCTTTCAAGCTCTCACATATGATGAGAAAAACTGGGTATCTCCTCATAAGAATTCCTTCTAGAACTTGAAGTAAGGGTAGAGGGGGCACATCCCAGAGAGTAAGTCTTGTGAGTAAGACAATTGCTAACAATTCAGGGCAAGAGCAGGGCAAGCTTAACCAGTCCAGAGACAATACACCTTTGGACAATACACTTTGTTGATTACTAACCTGAGCTTCTCCTTTCTTCCATCATCGCATCTCTACATTTAGGTCTAACAGAGCTGTATCACATTAACTAATAGGTAATTCAAGATTTTGACAGCTCACACAGTTAGCAATGACTTATATTGGGTATCCCATCAATGGGAAGTCATCTATTTACAAGCACCCAATTCACAAAAGGTCCCAGGGTCCTCAGCATCTGCCACACTCAAGTGGTAGCCCTCCTCTCCTGCCACCACCAGATCTCTGTCATTGTTGTGTGCCATCAAGTTGATTCTGACTCAGTGACCCTAGAGATCTCTAATGCAGGTGATTTCTAACTGACAAGAGAGCTTGTGTCCCAGAGTTCATTTCCACCTTAGCTGTTTGGAACTTGGAGTGCTTTTTTTCCACTGTGGTTCTTGTTGTTGTTAGATGCCACCGAGTTGTCTCCAACTCATAGCACAGCAGAACAAAACACTGACCAGTCCTGTGCTAGCCTCACGATCCTTGCTATACCTGAGCCCATCATTGCAGCCACTGTGTCTATCAATCTCATTGAGGGCCTTCCCCTTCTTCATTGACCCTCCACTTTACCAAGCATGATATCCTTCTCCAGGGAATGGTCCCTTCTGACAACACGACCAAAGCAGGTGAGAAG